AGGATTAAAGCTTTCCTGTCTTTTCCCTTTGCCCTCTTTTCCAGGGAGGACTTGGACCAGGAGGAGAAAGCCAGGTTCGGAGAGTACTGCAGCAGTGAGAACGGAAAAGGCCGGGAATGGTTTGCCCGGTACGTGAGCGCCCAGGTGAGAGGGGTGACGCCGGGCTGTGGTGTGGGGCAGCCCACCCGCTCTGGAGAAGGGAGTTGAGGAAAACGATCCCACAGGAAAAAGCGTAAAGCTCGTCTAGAGATGTTATAAAGCCTAATTAGAATAGTGGAAGATGCCCCACTAGAAAGGAATGCCGGGCTGTCAACCTCATGAAATTCCAGAAAAGTTCGTTTTTTTAAAGACCAGCACGTGGGCTATGTCCACACATGTTTTTGTTAAATAACCTACGATATTCCAGTTTTGTAAAGATAAAATATTCAAGAGAATGACAGCCATGTATGTAAGCTCAAATAAACAGTGAGTTTTAAAAACAGCCAGTAGGTTCTTTTTATTTTTTTCCTGTAAAGTGGATTAAGTTCTTCGTTTTTAAAGTATTTTTTGGTCACAAATAATTTAGTCTTCCAAGAAAAATTAGAAAATACAGATAAGCAAAAACAGAGAAACTGCCCATACATCACCCACCCAGAAAACAGCCGGCGTTGTCATCTTGGGGTCCCAGACCTCGGTAGTTTCCCACACGTGGGTGAGTGCACGAAGTTGCTAGTTTTAAAAGTCTCACAAGGAGACGCAGGAAACACCTGAGTGATGGTCGGGGGAGTAGGGGCGGGGGGCAGCCCTCTGCTAAGTCGCGGTCTCTGGGGAGCAGTGTCTGTCCTGGGCTCGTGTCCCAGCTGTGTTTAGAGATGCTGGGCGGGGTGAGCACGCAGCCCCTCTGAGCTGGGTGCACCTCCGCCAGCGGCCGCCTGACGCGGCTGCCCTCTTCCCGGACAGCGCTGCAACTCCAAGTGCGTCTCGGAGGCCACCTTCTACCGCCTGGTGCAGTCCTTCGCGGTGGTCCTATTTGAGTAAGTGATGCTGCGGCTTAGCGCCTCCGTCCTGACCTCTCAACCTCCCTCCCTCCCTCCCTCCCCACCTGGGAGACCCCAGTCGTGAGAACCAGCCGCATGAGTCATCAGCTCAATTGCTCCTCCTCCCCCCTCCCACTTTCCTTCCCCCGCGGCGGCAGCATTGGCTGGAAGTCGTGACCAGTATCTCACGGGGGTCGAGGGTGGGGGGTGGGGGGGGCGGAGTAGTGAGCGGTCCCCCGCTGCCCGCAGCGGGTCCCGGGACAGGCTGTGATTACACAGCGGCCCTGCCCTCCTCCAGCTGAGGTCTGGGGTTCTCTGGATTTCCTGCGGTGAACTACTCCGACCCGGGTCACCGCCCACTAACGAGATGGTTGGACGGCATCGCTGCCCTGAGTTCTAATGAGGCACCACTGGGGCCTTTTATCGCCGAGGACAGCGTGCGCTGGGGAGAAGGGCCCCCCACCTCCGTGTGGCCGGGGGGG